TATGAGTCTTTTGTAATTAATGGGAAGTTTAGAGCGTTTGTCTAGTAAGTGCTGAAGTAATCGGAAACGTCGAGCGGTTTCCTGTCGTTTCAGTCTAGTATGAGGATACCTAAACTTAGTTCTGAATTAAACCGTGAGTCATGAAGAAACGATATTAATTTATTTATTTCCGTCCCTTTGTACCTTTCGATAAATTTTTATTTATGTGTAGAACTGAATGATGTGGAGCAATGCTGTGTCCTTTAAAATGGAGAATTTTATGCTGCCACAGTAAAAGGGACGTGGAGGGTTTAGCAACATTCATGACCCCAACATCTGCTGCGCCCAATCGACTATTCAGCCACTTTTTACCGATACCAAATATCTGAGATTGTTTTCTGCCACAGTCGCTTGTTTCAATATTGAGTGCGTTCACAGCATAAATAGAAATTTTATTATTCCTAATAAAATTTTATTAAATGCCCTAACAGAGCTTAATAATTTTAAGATGTTACTTTGATGGTTGTAGCTTTTTTCTTAGAGGGCTGATACGTACATTATACAAACATTTACTGGAAAAACAAATTTAAAAAATAAAATGAACATCTCATCATGATATACAATTTCCTTAATAGAATAATAGATTTTTTTTAATTTTATCATGATATTTACAACTGTATTAATATAAATACATCAAGTAAGTGTGTACAGAGGAATATAATCACATGAAAACGCTTGTTGAGAAATTACCCATTGGTAGTACTCGAATAATAGAATTAGCATAACAATGATGAACGAATACCAAAGAAAATACATATCTGGCCAAAAACTAACTTATCAAGATTCTAACATTATATATATATTAATTTAAAAAATAGTATGTAAACCACTAAAAAAAAAAAAGAAATATTCTCAAAAATACTTAGTTATAGAAGAAAAAAATATGTTTTTATGTATACATAACTACACAATTTATAAACAATAGGCTTACTAATAAAATTTAACTTCATACAAAATGTTTTAATATCCACAGTGATTTACATAATAATATGCAAATACTAAAAGAAATAAAAATAAAATCTTCTCAGGAACACTTGTAGTGTGATGAACAAATATATATATATATATTTTTTTTTTTTTTTTTTTGTTCATTACACTACAGTGACCTTATTCCCAATTAAATAATTATGTTTATATATATATATATATAAACATAATTATTTAATTGGGAATAAGGTCACTTATTAATTATTCAATAAACTACTAAATTTTCATTGCTTCTATGTTTATTCGACGTTTCTAGCTTCGATGTTGTTCTAGCTTTGAAGAGGATCCCATTGTTAACTTATAAAAAAGAAAAAAAGAAAAAAATAAAATAATTTTTTTTATTTTATTTATTTATTTAGACATATGATATTCTGTCACAGGGACAGTAATTATATTAATAAATGAAAACATTCACACCGTATATACAAAAATATAAAATTAAATTAACAAAAGTAAAATAATAACTAAATAAAAACTATATACAATAAAAAATAACCTAAATATAAGTAAATTAAAAACATAAAAACACAGTCACACCTATATACAATATAGGCGGGGAACCCAAATCCCCGCGCTACTCTCTCAACCGCCTCACCAGTGCTAAAGCCGGTGGAGTTTGAGCGAGAGCGCTTTAGCCAAATACATTCATGTCTTGAGCGGAGAATCTGGCCATTGCCAGAACTCCAAAATAAATACTATAAAAGATATCTGGGCCACTGCCGCTTCAACCTTCGAGGAGGGTTGTAGGGATGAGTGGAACTAGATAGCGATTGGGCTAGGGGATTTGGATGATTGATAAGGTTCTGATGGAATTTTGAAAAATTTTCAGGGATAAGGTCAATTACAAATGGCATAAAAAATAAATAAAAATAATAATAATTAATAATTAATATATATATATACATATATATATATATATATATACATATATCGGCACACAGAGAGACAAAACGTATATCCGTATAAATAAAAAAATAAAATAACTGAAAATCGTTGATTTAGATGTTAAAATATAAGCAGTAGGCTAAATTAATAAATTAACACTAATAATAATATATTATCGAGGTATTGAAAATTATGTAACTGATTTTCGGTATAACTGATTTCGGTAGCTTACTCAAATGGGCTCAGTCTCATTTATTGCCCACAAAGTAAAGCTATAGGAGCGCCTATAGAAGTTTTCATTTAAAAAAAAAAATGACATAAAATAGGTGTAACAGAATCCCATAACTTTCTCTCTACCACAAAGTGTTCGCTTACGGATACCCTGCTTTGTCGAATATACCAATACCGATCAAAATCATTCAATGGGCTTTGTTACGAAAGCCAAAAATCAAGTGAGATAGTATAAAAAAAAAAAAAAAATAGTATATATAAATTGATTTTATTTTTCTTACTATAAATTTACTGATTTCATAGTTGATGACGTATAGCTGCTTATACCTTACTAACAAATTGTTTAGTTTCGAATTTATGTTAACAATTAGGAAGAGGGTTGACATATCAGATTTTCCAACATCCTTGGCATTATTTATTTTCAATGGAAGAAGAAACATCTTTTGAAGGGTGTGAATACATCATCACGAAGTGCATTAAGTTCCTTTGTAATATAATAAAGTTTTAGCGTAATCTAATCCAGTGGAAAAGTAAGACAAAGTAAAATATTCCGAGTTAAAAATTAGGAATGCAAAGGGAGTAGCTTCTGAAAGGCTTCTTCTCATGGAATTTCCAGGGTTTTTTTTAGTTGTTTTTTTTTTACATTTTTTTTTATTTAGCAGAGGTTTTATAAAGTAGTTGAAATTGAATAATATTTTTTTTTTTTTTTAAATTGAATTAATGACATTTATATTGACCAACTTTCAGCGTACAACAACATTAAATCTTATTTATTTATTTTTTCTTAATGACAAATATATTTATAATAATTACATGTCAAATTTAATGTATTATAAATATTTTTATACTCTATTTCACGATCAATTTGTTGACAACCGAGCATTAGATTTATATAAGATAATTAAATATGTCAACCTCAATGAATGACCAACGGGCAGAAATAGACCAGCTTATAACTAGTAGTGTTGCCCAAAATCGGTCTTGTCCTAGCACTTTGTAAGAACAAGACCAACACCGCCTATCTGTTGCAAGACGAAGACCTAGACTGGTAATAAAAATTGTATTATTTGAAAAAAAATTGAGACAAAATAGTTACTAATACTTGACAATTTTAGTTACTATATGTAAAGAATGGTGTAACCATTTTCATTCAGAATTAGTTAGGTTTCTCCTATGTAAAACATTACAGTAGTATATGTCTAGTAATAAGCTAATAGGTAACTGCAAGACTCTTACTAGACTCTTGCGCAAGACGAAGACCTAGACCAATACTGAGTTTGCAAGACCAAAACACGTCTCGGTCTCGCATTTGGGCAACACTAATAACTAGCTCAAACAGAACTTTCTTCTCCCTCTCAAAGGTATTGAAATCGCCAAAAATCTTAATAAATCTCAAACTAAGGGTGTACAATGCAATGATAAAGCCAGTTCTAATATATGGCTGTGAGACCTGGATAAAAGATCGCTGTGATTATTGAGAGGAGGGCTTTTCCTACATATCATTCGATTATTCTTCATCTGTAGAGTTTTTATGGAATCAGTGACTTTGAGGGTTCAGATACTTCTTATGTTATTCTCTACATTTAGAATCAAATGTACACGTCTTCGTCAATCTCATAAATTTCCCAGGAACTCACATCTAAATCATAATGGCAAAATTAAAGACTAAAGAAAGTTTCTGTCATCGGAATCTTAGGTTGCTTAGAAATAAGGAAATAAAGTTTCCACGTCCTGAGCACTCTTTATGAAATTTAACGGATATTAAAAGCAGAATTTTATTGAAGAAAAATAATACAATCTGCCACAATCAAGGGCATTGATTAATATGGCTGTATGTTTACATCCATACATTTTATATACAAATTAAAATCAAAATCGAGAAAAAAATAAAAGATTTTTTTTTAGATTACTTTTTATTGATCAATATCACAATCTGTCTCACAAACAAAAAAATAAGAAAACATGTAAGTAAAAATATATACATTAAAATAAAAAACTTGTCAAAAGGAAAAAAAATCCATTGAAAGAATAGTAAAGAAAGACTAAAAAATATATAAATACTAAAATTTAAGAGATGATTTGGAGGGTGGGGGGAGGGGGTTCATATATTGACTTTCATGAGCTAAAGAAACAAATCTGACATATTTTTCAAAATTGGATTTGTCTTCTGTGTTTATATGCAATTAATTAAAAAGCATTTTTAAAAAGCATATAAATATTAAAAGTTTATTCAACATCAATGCTTTCGATACGTTATTTAAGTAAACTGATGCCCGTTTATTAAACACAAAGGTCATTGACGAATACGAACGATTGGACGTGCCGTTAATTTCAATTTTGAGCCATACTAAAAATATATTAATGATATAAATAATTAAAAACTGTTTAAAAAACATTTTAAGTTTATGCCAAATTTTTCATTTTTCATTTATATTTTTAAGAACAATAAATTAACTTGTTTTATTTTTATATATTATTTAACAATTTACAACAACGTACAGGCTTAAAGTTCAAATTCAAGGTAGTTTATGTAACATATAAGCAATTATTAAGATTCAAAATTACCAACACCAACAGCATTAAACTAAAAACATAATATTATTAACAATCGTCCACATGTATCACAATTATTTTTACCATTAAGTAATTTAATTTTATATAGATAGGTCAGTATATCTTTATATCTTTATGTAATTGACTTTTATGCATATATCAAATTTCCTACATTAAATAAAATAATACAGGATTATGGAAGTCTCCCAAATTGTTTTGAAATAATTATATTATAAGTAACTATCACTTATGTATGACTAAGATATGTAAATTATTTTTAAAAATATATTATTGCATTTGTTTAGTTGGAAGAAGAGGGAAATCAGAGCGTGAGCTTTCTCAGTTTCGTACCGGTCATCGATGACGATGGCAAGTACCTCACGTGTCGGGCAGAGAACCCTTGGATCCCGGATTCTGCCTTGGAGGACAAGTGGAAGCTCAACGTTCATTGTAAGTTCTTTATTCCTAAGTTTTATTTTACTATTTCAAGCTTCTTCCGATCTTAATTCATTTTTAAAAATTAATTTTATATTTACCACTTATTTTATATTTTCAATAGCCAATTAAAAAAACAACAACATTCCGATTGAAAAAAAAATATTGGAAACGACCTTTCACTTTTGTAAATATTTTCTAGAACGAGCTAAGAAGTCAATTGCCAATGTTAACATTAATAAATGATAACTACAATTAGATCTTATTTATCTGGAACGTAAACAAGTAAAATTTGTACAAATTATATTAACGTTTCAGAAAATATATATATATTATTTTCAGTAGCCTACTTTCACATATTTATTTTCAAATTTTATTCCTCCCCTAATTAATGGGTATTCTCTTAGAAAATGTAGGATATGTTAGATTTCAGAAATTTATTTTCGAATAATAATGCTGTTTTATTTTTAAAATATTTATACAGGATGTTTAAGGGTTAATTGGCCAAACTGAAAATATGAATTGAGAAACCCAAAAGAAAAAAAAAATTCCTATGAAGGTGTGTCCGCAATCGCTTTGTTTAGGAGATATTCACACCTAAAGATTTTCATTGTTATGAATTATTTACGTTATATTAAGTAAATAAAACTAAATTATTTTTTCCAACTACTTTATTAATTAAACGTAAACATTAAATTCATATTAAATGTTGTTCAAAGTCACTTCCTTGAGCATTAAGACAGGCTCGGCATCTTTCTTCAACAGCAGCAATGGCAGAACGCACTGGATATGTGTGATTGTTTCACAAGATTCAATTATTATTCGTAGTAAGAAATTAAGGTCATGGACCGGACTTTTGTCTTTAAATTTTGTTTAAATTTAAGAAATTTTGTTTAATGTCACCCCGAACAAAAAAATCCAGTGGTGTCAGGTCTGAAGAACGTGCAGGCCAAACCACCGGTTCTGTACGGCCAATACACTGATTTTGTTAATTAACATTTAGCCATTGCCGTGAACCTCTTTCATAATGTGCAGGACAACCATCTGATTGAAGGCTCATGTCCCTTCTCAGTTGTAGTGGAATATGTTTAACCAAATCATAGTAATCATTATTCAGAAATGTGCCCGCTTTGAGTCGAGGCGGCAAGAAATATTATAATACAATATTAAAATATTGTCTATTATCCCCAACCACACTAGTGCTGAAAATGATGCTCACGAATTACATGGGTATTTTTTCTGTGACCGGAGATGATTATTTTTCTGATCGAAGATATATCTTCTTGTAAATGTAGCTTCATCTGTAAACAGAATTTTTCCCGAAAATTGAGGATTATGCTCAACTTGATTTAAGTACCAATCTGAAAATTTTCTTCTTTGCCGAAAATCTTACGGCAATAAATTCTGAACCCGTTGATAATGATATAGGTGAAGTCCATCTGCAATGAGAGTTCTCCATACTGAAGTTGGCGTAATATTTAATTCTGAGACAGCTCTTCGTACACTGCGAGATGGATTATCATGAGTACTCTGCGAAAGCCTCTTACAAACTGATAAATGTTATTGAGAGTTCCCAATGCTAATTCCAAATAGTATTAATCCTTATGTTGCCAATAGTTTTTCTATCCATCTCTTAAACAATGCATATACATACCTTCAGAGAAATTTTTTTTCTTGTTTTGAGGTCCTTAGTTCATTTTTGCAGCTTGGCCACTTAACTCTGAAACGCCCTGTATAACAATTAAAAAAAAAAAATATCCTTTTCTTAATGTTACCTGACCTTGACATAAAAGAAAATATCCATTGGTCGCACTCCAAAGTTAGTTTTTGTTACAAATGAAAAGTTAAATATAATTAGGCTGTAGGCTTGAAGTTTGTGGGCAAGAAGCGTAGCAAGTGGCATGGTGGAAACTGCCAAATTATATTATACCCATTGATTCTTAGAATAGTAGAAGTACTCTTACGTCATTGTGGATGGATGGAGGCAAATAACGAATTACATAAAAGATAAATTTTAAAGGTATGATAGGTAACTGAAACGAATATCGGGATACTACATTGAATCATTTCAGGGATGCCAAGAAATGGATATCATGGAGCAAGTTCTGCCATAAAAATTTTACAGTTTGCGCATTTTTACGGTTTCGTATATTTTCGGTGAGCACAACATTGTTGAGGGGTGTTCTATGTCATGTGGTTTGTTGAGACACTAAGAACGTAGGGCACATTTAGGCATTATTGTTTGAGCTAATTTATGGAGCTAATGAGTGGACTGTAAGTTTTTGAAATTCTGTATTGTATAAATAACGTAATATTAGAATGGGTGGAATAAACCCAAATTCAGGATACAATATTATTAATTTGATTCAGAATGTAATTGATAGATTTGTGGTTTGCTGACTCTATTCAGATGATTGAGCTTTCTATCTTATTTTCCTCTTACTTGTTTCTTCCTTAGACCGGTGGTTCCTTCATTTTCTTGTAAAACATAATTATAAGGAAAAATCATGATTCATCTTAACCTTCATGGATATGAATTTTCCCATAATATATAATGGATGTTAGGAGTTCCACCTCCACCTCACAGATGGCAGCACCCTTCCAGTCTTCAACAACACGTTCGCTGCCAACTACGACTTATCTCGTGGGTGCCAGCTAGAACGTATTCATTCATAATTCATAAAACGTATTTGTTTCACCTACGTCACATGCAATCAAACACTTATATTGTCATACTCTTTGAAGGTATCTTTCTTTGGGGATTTGTGGAACCATTTTTGAAAATTTCGCTCGACAGCGAACCTGTTAAATAACTAATGGATTATAAATTATAGCAGAAAATCCTCAACGCTCCTTACTTTTTCACAAATAACATCATCCATAAAGACTTTAATGTTCCATATGTTTCCGATTTGGCCCAATCCAGATACCTATCCTTCCATAACAAACTGTAGAACCATCTGAACCCTCTAGTTTCAAACCTTGCTTCCTCCTCGATCCCAGATACCCTCCGAGGCGTCAGAAAAGAAGGTGGCCTCATGATCTTCTTGTGTAAATTTATTATTTGTGTGCTGTCAGTGGGTAATTTCTCAACAAGAGATTTTATGTTATTATATTCCTGAGTGCACATTTACTAGTTTTATTTATTTATTTTTTATAACACAGTTGTAAATATCAATGAATAATAAATAAAAAAACAAAACAATTATAACATTTTCAAGATGTTCAGGGCTGTACCCTGAACAAGGGGTTTCAATTTGGGTGTAACCCAAGGGCCGAGAGATAACTAATAAAACATGAACCACAAGAAGTTCATTTTCTGGAGGGGCCACCCTTGGATATTATTATATATGTTATGATTACTGATTCAGAAGTAAAAGGGTTAAATGGAGGGAGTTAAAGGCTGTTCGCGATGTCAGCGATTACCCGGCTCATCCTTTTAACCGGCCATATTTCATTCCCAACTAGAACGGAGAAGCAGAGTTTATTGTAATTTCAAAACTTTTTCCTGTTGGTGGAGTATGTGAAATTGTGAGGTTTCTATCCCGAAAGAAAAATAAGGATAGCTTTTATTATATAAATAAATGCTATCCAGTATATTCCGATGAACATTAACACTACATAACAGTCCTTTCCGGGATTAAAACGAAAATTCTCTCAAAATTGACAAAAGCTAAACTTTTTTAGCCATAAAATATTTTCAAAAGTTAAATAAATAGATATGAATTAAATGTGTACTAATGTATAGATTATATAATAAAACTACGATGGAATTTTATATTTTTAAACCAAGTTGACTAACGTTCCACTAGGATTATGTCACCAATACCTGCTTCATTAGAAAACATATCTACATCTATGTGTGTATTTGAAACTATAATTAAAATTATTACGAATTTTATAATATATGTACAAGTTCATAAGTACACTTAAGGATACACATAAGTTCATGAGAAGTTATAAAACAAATATATATACATCTAACATTGGTTTTTAAACCAAGACCCTATATTATATATTTTGTATTTTTAAAATACAATATATTTTGTGTGTATTTTTTTTAAAGTGGATTTTGTGTTTTTAATATACAATATATTTTGTATTTTAAAACAGAATATGAGTATTTGAATAATATAGTATTTAAAATGTTTTCATAAAATATATTTTAAATACAGAATATTAAAATTATTTGGTATTTTAATTGCAAAAAAAACAAAATACAAATAAAAAATACTTTCTAGTGCACGAACATCATATAATACGGGAATCTATTTTATTTTATAATTTATCTGGTATGTTTAAAATGCAAAATAAAATACATTTTTTTGAACTTCAGTATCTTGAAAATGAAATTATTTTTTTTTTTATTTTAATGAAATTTACAACTGTATTACATAGAAAATAGAATAATTAAATGTGACATAGGTAACATGACATGTACAACATGAAGAGAAACTACCCATTGGTAGAACTCAAATTAAAGTTCTATATTTGAAGGTCCCGAGGATCTTCTTTTCAGACGCCTCGGAGGGTTATCAGGGATCGAGGAGGAAGCAAGGTTTGAAACGAGAGGATTCGGATGGTTCTGCAGTTTTTTATGGAAGGATAGGTATCTGGATTGGGCCAAATCTGAAACATATGGAACATTAAGGTCTTTATGGATGATTTTATTTGTGACAAAGTAAGGAGCGTCGAGGATTTTACGAAGGATTTTGGATTGTAAGGATTGGATACGAGAGGAATTCGATGGTTTAGTGGAGCCCTAAAGCTCAATTCCGTTAGTCCAAACAAGTCTTATTGTCATATATATATGAGTCGTTTGTAATTGATTGAAAGCTTTGAGCGTTTGTCTAGTAATTGCTGCAGTAGTCGAAAACGTCCGGCGGTTTCTAGTCGTTTCAGTCTGGTATGGTTTTTTTTTGTTTTTTTTTGTATTTTAAAAGGAAAATTAAGTTACAATATATTTCATATTTCAATTGTAAAAATACAAAAAAAAAAGTATTTAATTCTGTATT